TGCCTGTACGACGCCTACGGCATGACAGTCGTTGAAGCAGCAGCCTTCGCTGCGCCCTCCATCATCCATGTCGGTCCGGGCGGTGCAGTGGGAGCAGCCGAGCTCTTGCTGCCCGGAGAACAGCTGGCACTGCCGCTCGACCTCTCGGCTGCCCTGCCAGTCGTAGTTGAGGGCATTCTGGCGCTGCTGCAGGACAGGCAGTATCTGGCACAGGTGGGAGTGGCGGCGAGGCGGCGTAGTTTGGAGTGGAGTGAAGAGGCAAGTGCCCGCGTCCTCTCCGCTATCCTGCGGGGCGGGCCCGCATGAATGATGCAGGACACACTGATGGATCAGAACAGACCCGTCAAAAGGACATAACCCCCTCAACATACGCCCTGCCTTTTATTTACCATCGGATAGAAGACCCCCCTAGTACCGTATTCCCCCAGATAAAACACCCAGGGGTGTTAGTAAAAACCCATGTAAAATTTTGAGGGGGTATAATTAATGGCACATTTTGTATAACGCCCGCAGGCTATGGAATGACACTTTTATGTTTATGAAGTGGAATTGAACTGTATTGTAGACAGTTCTTTTGTGCCAAATTTTGACGATTCTTGCACATGATCGCGTATATGGTGAGGAGGACCATCGTCATGCCACAATGCAGGCTAATAGTCACAGGTTGCCTGCGTCACATGTTGTCACGTTCTATCAGATCGTAGTGGCAAGTGGCAACCTCGACGCCACAATGTGACAGCGCACCAAAGCCGGAAGGAATCTGCTGCAGATTCCTTCACAACCCAACCAGGGCCGACCGACATGGATTCTCCCGCGCTGCAGTGTTGACTGTAAGGAGTGTGTTCCCATGAGCCTCGTATCAGACTCGCAACATTCGCCTGAGTGATGAGAATTCCAGGCATGGTAACAGTTCTACACCGCATTGAACCAATTCGCGTCGAGCTTGCACTGCTCAGAGACGCGCGAGTCTGATACGAGACACTCTGATAAGAGGCAAAATATAAAGAAATACAGTGAAAATGAACCAGGGGGGTGGTGTATAGGTTTCATGCCAAAAACTAGGGTGGTATGAATATCCAGTTTAATAAAGCACCCAGGTCCGCCCAAACCACCCATGGGTGATTAATTCCGGCAGGTGTTTTATCCGGGGGAATACGGTATTAGAGCGTATTCCTGGGGTGCGGGATCAGGATCAGCATTCGCAATAACAAGGCTGATCCTGGCAGGCAACTTAGACCACGGGCATCAGCCTCGATCAGGCCCCCAAATTGGTTTTGGGCCTGTCTGATTTGTCAGAGTCCACTGCCTTCCCTTGGTATGGGTGTCAGAGTTACCTCGAAAAAGTCTGAAAAATCAGAGTAGCCTTCGATTTTTTGTCTGACCAATCAGAGTCATAGCCAAACTTTTGTACAAGCCTTTTTTATGGTTCTTCATTAGAGAATGCTCTACATTTCACTACATACACGGAATCAGTCAATATCCTGCATATCCTGCTGAGGCGCTGCCGGCATATCATCATCTACTTTCTCCTTTCCCTTCCTGCTGCTACTAGCCTCGAGTAGGGCGTTGCTAAGGGGCTTCCTCTTCTTATAAGCCCGCCAGATGGTGACCACCTCTTCCTAGACAGGGTCATACTCTAGGTGCGACATGCACATCAGATCTCCTAGCCTAGTCTCCTTGAGAGCCCCCGCAGCCAACTCTTGATGACGTTCTGGCGGGAGAACCTGCGCTCGCACTCGACAGTGCTCAACAGAAGGACAGCCACCGCCATCCACAAGTTGACCAGGTTGGGGTAGCTGTCCCTCCAGTCCTGCGTCTTGAGCATGTCGCTCAGCCCCGCGTGGAATGATTTGTCCACCTTGGGAAGCGCAGCAAGGACAGGAACGAAGTTGCGGAGCTCGCTATGGGCTTTGCGCTTGTCTATACCTGATCAGACAAGGGCACACAAGGAGAGGAAGAAGGGTTGGGTTATCTGAAACAGTACACAGGGTTTAGGAAAAGATATGTGTCTTGTTTCAGATACATTGCCAAAGGGATAGTGAAAGGAGTAGATGGTGATTCACCTGGCAGAATCTCGTCCCTGTCTTCAGCGCGGTAGATGACCACGAGCGAATTGAACCACTCGAGGCACTACGTCCTCCGTGCCTGTTGGTCCCAGTTGGGCGGCCATGTGTCGACGCTGAACAGGCGCGCTCCCGACAGCTGCCGCAGATCGCCTAGGCGCTCGTCGAGGTTGCGGACCAGGCCCTCTGCTAGAGCCATGCACGCCACGACACTCCCATCGTGGTCGCTGGGCCCCGGGTAGTCCTCTTGGGGCTCTTCGTGCAGCTTGAAGGTGAACCGAGAAGGTCAGCCATCGGAGTCAATCCCCTCCACTGTCACTAGCTTGGACTTGCCGGGCCCGTGCTTGGTGAGGAACCGCGTCAATCGATCGTTGGGCCCGCCGGTGAAGTCGTCTCCGCATTCCACGTAGCGGCTCTCTAGCAGCGAGGTCGTGCGGATGATCTGCGCGTGCACTGTTGTGTAATCCAGCTGGTGGGTAGGGGAGCAAGGAGAGGCAGGGCATCACAGACGGATGTGTGATTAAAGGACGAGCGGCAGAGACAAGCAACATCGACATGCATGCAAAAACAAACATTTAACATATTTACCTCCTGCAGCTGGACGACCTTGTTGAGGACGTTCAGCAGCTCCAGCACGTCGGCGAGGAACATCAGGAGGAGCCAGAAGCGATAACTGGTGACGGGCGCGTACAGCTTGGCGTCGTACTCCTGCAGCATGACCACGATGGCTGGTAGGACCTCGACCAGGCGGATGACCGCATCTCCGCGCGACAGCCAGTGGATGTTGTGGATGCCCTGGAGGTCGAGGTTCGTCGACATGAACACCTCCTGGAGCTCCAGGAACCGTTGATGCCAAGGGTTGGAGCGACCGAGCAGCTCAGCGATCTCGTTAATGATGTTGTCCACCATGCTGAAGACTGGGATCTCCTCGGCAGCAGCCTTTACCGCCAGCGCCTCTCTGCAATGGGATAAGGAGATGAGATGCAAACTAGGAAGCAAATTAGGGATTGGAATTAAACAAAACAAGAAGCAAATATACATGACATGCACACAGCAAACGGATGACGAACCGATGGGCAATGCAACGGCAAGAGACAAGGTGCGGAACGCGAAGACGAAGGCGGGCCACAAGTCCAGAGCACGATCCCATCATGATGGTAGCGCCGTCAGTGCTTATGCCAGAGATGCGGCCGATGTCGACGGCAATCGCCTGCAGATGGGACAACACGAGGGCGAGAAGCGATGCCGCATCCGCCTTCTCCACTGTCAACAGAGCCAGGTACTCGGTTACAAGCCGCCCTTCCCGGATTAACGTGGCAAACACGATCATGTGCTTGCCACGGTAGCGATCGGTGCTTTCGTCAAGGCTCAGGCCAATGTAGGGACTCGCTAGCAGGTGTTGGAGTTGAGTCGTCTGCAGCCACGTTGCCGTCGCTTGTGTCAGCTCGCCGAAACCGTACCTGTTACATGACTCGCACAAGCCAAGTTGTTGTACGTTTCATACCTAAAGACGAGACACAAAGAAGTTCATAGTCACTGGAGTTCTCACCAGTTACAGTACAGTTAGCCGTAGGCAGACTTCGGGAAGCCCTTGAAACTGCGCGATGAGAGGTATCGCACCAAACGAATCCATGTTTCCATGGGTTCGTTACACTTGGCGCAGAAGTAGAGGGAGTCGAGCAACGCAATGAGTCGCTCCTTCTCTTCGTCGGCCGCGCGAAGATGCTTGTCGATCCGCTGCTGGTTCGACGCTAGTTGTAGGAGATCGTCCTGCTTGGACATGGCGAGGCGATGCTTCTGCGTCCCGGCGTGCTTCTTGAACGACTGGGTCTGCACGTCCGTTGCTCCCTTGCCCGATTTGCTGGTATGCCCTGCAGGTCCTGCATGCACTGCGCATACACTGCACTTGAAGGCCGGGAGCCCATCGTCAGTTTTCAAGAGCATGAGCCAAGGGAATCTGTCAGACCAGCGAGATGTGAAACGCTCTTGTGCCTTAGCATAGATATCATCGTTTGTTGTAGCAGTGGACCTACCGCCAGACGATTCTGGCGTATCCGCAGGTACAAAGGGGCTCGGCACAGGCTCAGGCGGATCCTAGCATGTCAACGTGGAGGCGTACGGCAGAATCACCTGCCTGTACCGGAACCTCTTCGCCACCGTCACTGACGGCGTGGTGCCGGCGACAGGAGCTGAAGCAGCGGGCAGGGGGCTTGCATCCGCAGACTTCTTGCCCGCTGCGTCGGGAACAGGCGCATCGCCATCAGCAGGGGCAGCGTCACTAGGCTTCCTCTGAGGGCTACGATCTGAGGTATCCTCGGCGCGTCAGCATGGGTGCGGTGCCTCGTCTGCTGTGCCTCACCCAGCAAAATGCCTCTGGATTGGCGAAAACAACCGTGTTTTGGTCAAGGACCAATCGGCTGCTCAGGCTATCTCTGTGCTGGCGCCATCGCACAAAATTTGCCCGCCCGACGGCTCGGGCCGCGCCAGCGCAAATTTAAATCTGGTGTGATTGACGGTGACGACAGAGGTACCAGCGCAAATCTCGCAATCCCCCCTAAAATGACGGTATTAGAGGAATCAGGGTCCCCCCCCCATACAAGGATGAAGCATCAGAGTACACTTGTAAAAGAAGTCTGAAAAATCAGCGTAGGTACATAAATCTTCTCTGAAAAATCAGAGTAACATAGAAAAAAAAGTATTTGGGATCAGAGTACACAAAAAAAAAACTCTGAAAAATGTCTGAATCTGAGTAAAAAGTCTGCAATTTGGGGGCCTGGCCTTGATGGTTTGCCACGTCATGTCGCACACGAGACATCTAACTGGCTGAAGTGTAAATCCAATTTTGATGAAACCCATGGTGTCGCAGTGACCCATGCGATGCACCGTAAACGAATGGAACACACAATCGCATTGCTCGTGTGCTATGCCACTCGCATTTCGTGGGTTTCATGGTACTTCAAGTAGTCGCGTGGCTTTTGCATTTTCTGCGGTGTTGGTTCGCATCGGGTGTCACAGTGAGAATGAATTGGCTGAAACAAGGACAAGACATGGCTTGTATTTGGGTGTTGAACTCTCTATAATCTGCAGCACCTAGCTAGGCTATAGCACATATACACCTAGCATATATATATATATATATATATGAACTGTTGAAGTATACTCGACAGAGTTTACTTATGCATTCCTGATGTAACACCTAGACTACTGCATGCGCAATGCCTCATATGAAAGGACGCGCGTGATGACGTCAGCAGTAGCGAGTCAACGTGTGAATAGTAGAATTGGTTGTGTATATATCATTTCTCCTTTTGAATCCCGCTAAAAATTCGCCCGGCGCGGGACTCAAACTCGCAAATCTGGTAACACGGGCGAAATCGACTATAGAGGGGAAATCGGCACATGTCCAAAATGATGTAGGGGTAACATACTTTAACTCATGCGGACACAACGATGTTACAATCTTATCGCCGGCGGATTCCAAACGTGTTGAGCGACTTTCGCCAAACATCCCAACTTGACGTTCGTTAGATGATTATTATCCAGCACACAACCAGCAGATTGAAAAGAAACTGTCCATATAATGACATTGGTTACAACAAAGGCCTACGTGCCCGACACATGCAACGCTATATCCAGCAGAACAGCATCCACCCCTCACGACTGCCGAGTCACACTGTCTGCAACACGAGTCCCTCGCTGGACAGGCACACCATGTTGCACTGTCAAGCAGCGTCTCTACCTTCCCATAAAACACGCAAAACGACACAAAAAAGATTATCCAGCAGCTGAATGCCGCAGAACAACACGCCGGAGAACGACCCACACAAATAGTAGCGACACTTACGCACAACGACACTAAACACGCAGGAAAGCACCAACGAAGCGAGACGCGAACAACGAGTGACACAGATGATAGATGAGAGAGACAGAGGGTGGAAGTAGAGAGACATATGGCTGTTAGAGAGATACAGAGATACAAAGACATACGGAGCGTAACCCGCGGCCATGTGCCGCATGCTTAGTATGCGGCGGTCTCAGAAGCCAAGCAGGTCGGAGTCGTCAGCGTGGCCGCCCAAATCTCCCGCCACGCGGAGTAGGCGGAGGCGCGCGGCGATGGCATCAGGGTCATCTCTAGCGGTGGCGGGAGAAGGGGGCAGGACGGGAGGGGGAAGATTCAGGTTCATAGCGTTCCCTGACGCCCTAGCCAACCTGTCGACAACCACCAGATTCCGGATGTCGAACAGGTGGCGGAGGTCGTTAGGGCTAATGCCCGTAGCCCGGGCATAGCCCACAAGCATCTCCGAGGCCCGGCGTGCGGCGTGCCTCATGGCCCTCGTGTGTTCGCGGCAGGTGACGATATCGAACGGCGCCTCCAGAGCAGCGGGGAGCGGGTCGGCTCGAGGTGGCTCCACGGCGAGAGGGTCGGAACCCTCGAGATCGCAAGTCGGATGGTTCTCGTCAATCTCGAGAAACTCCGACGCTGCCATCGCGAACGGCCCAAGCTGAAGGCGAGGAATGCACGCTGCCATGGCCTCCAACTCGGGCTCCACCTCGCCTGGGTCTCACGCAGGGGATTCCGTCTGCACAGCGACGGGCATCCAGCTCGCGGGCAGAATCCGCGCGTGCCACCAGCAGCGCTCCACCGTGCTTTGTTCGATGGAGAACCAGGCGTCATGTAGCCAGACGACCACCTCGCGCATCTTCGGCTTCATCCGCTACAGCTCCGCCGGGCAGCCGCGCACTTCCCACATCTGAGTGAGGACCGCCAGCCATTTCACGCGGTACCTCACCTTGGCGGTCTCGATCAGGCCCTGGTCGAGCGGGCTGGATGAAGGCGATCGTGTTCGGTGGCAAATAGACAACACGCATGTTACTGAGCTTGCGGGTGCAAAGGCCACAGAGGTCCTCGGTTATGGCACCCGGAGTGGTGATGCGGTGGCTACTTGCATTATCGACGAGGAGCACGATCGAGCGTCCCTCGGCGAACATGGCAGCGTTGAGCGACTCCATGTACGCAGTAAATACCTACAATTTAAAAAAAAAGAGGGAGAGTCATCGCGAGTAACGGAGGTGAGATAAGCGGTTACGACATGACGCTACGGCTAATTTGGATACGACAGGTGCAGTAACAAAGTAGGAGCACAAATTTCCACCACATGGAAAAATGCAAGAGTTTGAGTTGGGGGAGTTTAGATAGCGGGGCATGTTCCTTACCTCGCTCGTCATCCACCCTTTCTTGTTGTAACGCCAATGGACTCAGGGCTCGGGATTGAAATTCCCTTCGTTGAAATCGCGAGGCCGTCGAACCTTGCTTATAATCATGGGCTTGAGCATCGACGAGCCATCGGTGTTACAGGTGAAGACGACGGTGACGCGGTCCTTCGCAACTTTGCGACCGGACAGGGTCTCGTCGGTCCACGTGCGACGGGGCTGGAAG